TTGCCGTGCGTGGGAGGTGATCCGTAACGGAGTCACGGTTACGTCGTCTCACTTTCTTATGGTGCAGCGGAACTGCAGAAAGTTGCCAGAAATCGTCGGCGCGCTCCTCTGCTGAAGTGCCATTCTGATTCATACCGCAATAAAAGATAGAATCGACCGACGGGCGCACTGGGTGGTGATTCAACACGATCGTCGTTGTCGTGGCACCTCATCGTCTCTGTATTAGCCATACGTCGTCTCAAACATCAATCAATAATTACCTCAGTAATCCGAAGATTCCCCAGAGTTGTGATCAGTGAGAAACCATATGCTCTGCTATGGACAGCATACGACCTGTACTGTATATTCAGTAACGAACGGCCACTCAGCCCTGGGTTACCCCTTCACGAATTTCGTGGACAACCATACCACTAGCTAGGTTTTCCAAGCGGTATAAGGGCTTCGCGCTGAACTCTATCTGAACCTCATGGGAAAATCCATTCTAGGATTCGTTCGAGGGGGGAACATGATGTTAGCGCACGCGAGCTTTGTACAAAGTGCATATGTTGTTGTGGGTCGAGGGTCCACCATTACAACAAGGGTGATGACAACACGACAGTGGGAACGAGCCAACGCGCAACATTTGGCTCCCTTCCACTGGCCACTTATGGGATTCCAAACATTACCTTCTCACCTTGTTCTGCTGTCGATATAGATGGTATCTCCAATAACTTCCCTCTTCTTTTTCTTCTACATTTGGTTCTTTCATGGAAGTTAGATGGTAAGGTAAAGGTAAATAGAGCGAATGAGTGGATGAGACAGTGACTATTAGTAATGATGTCTGCTCTCGTTGGCGCAATGAGACTTATCATGCCGTCCGTGATCAGAGCGTAGTGAGAGAGATGATGATTATGCGACAATATGAACGTCTGTACGATTTTCGTCCCACTCCTGTGTGATTATGTATCCCACGTTACGTTCCGCCAATCCTAGGGACGGTCTCAAGTCCGCCTCGGAACGTTTCTGCTCTCGACGATTTCCACGTGATGTACTTTGTACAGCATATAATCCTTGATATTTCGCTTCCGTGGCTAACCTTTCTCTCTGGTTTGAAACTTCCGTAACGGGAACGTCAGCAGTATATCGAGTCGAATTTCTTCTCAAAAGTAAATCCGCCGCAATTCTCTGACACACCTGTGCCATTTTTGCTTCTGCCAACTATTTAACTGAAATGCGCCGTGTTTTCTACTATTCAAGAGCTTCTCAGGCTTCAGCACTCTCTCTAAAGTGTTCTCCCTATTGATGCCATCAGTAAATCAGTAATGATTTTCACTTCTTCCGAATTGAACGGTTCCAAACAAGCATAACCTCTCAATCAAAAACTCTCTTCATTGGCAGTGGACCTTCTCGGTTGTCCCCGGGCAACCCATCATTACATTTGATATAGTAATATGATGTATTTTTCGTCGATAACGGCGAAATACCCGTGAACATGGGCCATTCGGTATAGCAATTGTATGTACATTGGCAGACTTCCGGACGAGTGAATTCACTATAATATGTATTATGTTATTGAAGACGCTTCGAATTCCCTTCGCAGACCCTTGCTTCGTCTAGCTTTTTCACAAGTACTTGCGATTTCTTGGTAGAGCTCCCTTGCGGAAACTCGGGAACCTCTCAGAACTGTTCCCCTTTCGTTTTAAAAGATTTATTGTCAAAGATTTTCTATTTCATTTATCGAACTACCCACGTAAATGACGAAGTTAGTTTCCTCTAGGGAAGTTCACGACACTGAAACTGACAGTGCTAAAGAAGAAAGTTCGGGGATACAAAGGCATACCGAGAAAGGACAGATGAGGGGACGATGGTGTGAAGTATGATGAAATTCCAACTGGGAAGTAGTAGGAAGATGTGAAGTAGGAGGAACCTTGAAGAAAGCCAGCTACGGGGTGTTGAAGAGCAACGAAGTGACCTTCCTAACTGCGAATTTCCGCGAATAACTATGTCATTACCTCGATGCCGTCTCTGTTCTACATGAGCCATACCCTTCATTTGACCCGATCCCTCGACTACTCACTTATTTCCTGCAGTAGTATTGACAACAACATTGTAGGCGCTCTGCAAATTTCTGTGGCGATTTTTTTTTCCTGAACTGTCGCTCTCAATGTGCCGTTTCGTTATCACGTCTTGCTATCACTTCACAACACCGGCGATGCCATGCATACTTCCGCTTTTTCTCGCGCCTCTTCTTCGATTCCTTGAGAATCAGCTGGCGTTCGGGATATGTCGAAGTGAGGGAATTCCAGATGCAAGTTTTTGCTCAGTCGAGGAACACAGTTCTCCTCGTCGCTCTTTCGTGAAGCGGCCGCCAGACCGTGAAAGCTCGAAATTCACGCTTTTCAAGGATCTATCTAGGTATTTTGATAGCTTCTTGGCTGCCAAGTTAGCAAGTTCGTATCGTGACAAGTGGCCTCCACACGCACATTGTCGCGGGTTCGAATACCGGATCGATATCCGCCCAGGTCAACCAAGCCTTCCATGTCCCCGGGGTCGGTTAGTTGGTACCAGACTGGTCCGAGAGGAAAAAGACTGATTTGTATATTGACTGGCCACCCGCAAATCACTGCATAGGCCATATACTCATTCATTACGAGGGTTGCCTTTTATATTTTGAGATTTGGCAACGCTAGTGTAGCAATCTAGCGACTGACACCACTATCGTAAATTTTGACTATTTTGAGGTTACGCTGCAAAATTTGAGCGCGATTTGTATTGTTTACATTATGTTATAAGATTTTGTTTAGGCCAAGTTAGGAGTTTGAATCGTGAGCATTTTCGCGCGAGTATTTTCTACAACTTTCGACGTGGGCTAACTCAACAGCAATGCATGGATGAACTTGGTTCAGTTTTTGGTGATGAAGCTCCATCCGGGGTCAGTGTTTGTCGATGGTACAGTGAGTTCACCCGAGGTCGTAGTTCACTCGAAAAAAAATTTCATGGAGGTGGTCCAAAATCAGTTGCTGTTCCGGAAACCGTTGATACTGTGCACAAACAAATATTGCACGACCGTCATGTGGCCTATCGTGAGATTGGGACAACCTTAGACATTAGTGGGACCACTATACATTCAATATTGCATGAACATTTGACTGTAAAAAAATTGTTTTTGGAAAATTTGTCAATCCCCCAAAAAAGAGACTCGTGTCGATTGGTCGAAAGAAATGCTCACAAAATACGATCGCGGCGCTTCGAAACACGTCTATGACATAGAGACAGGTGGTGGATCATGGATTCATGCGTATGAGCCCGAAAGGAAACAGCAGTCGACCGTATGGGTATTTCAAGATGAGCCAAATCCAACAAAAGCTGTCCGCGCATCAAGCACTTCCGAGCAATTGATCTCCTGTTTCTTTGGGAAAACTGGACATGTCGCAACCGTACCACTAGGACAAGCAGAACAGTCAATTCTGAGTGGTATACCACCATTAGTTTGCCAGTTAACTTCCAAAAAATCAGGAAAACCAACTGNAAAAGCTTCAAACTGGGAGGGCAATAGTAGAAGCAACTTGGGTGAGAAATGATGCTGTGAGAACGAGTCCTTAATTGCCTACTTACGTACGATGCTAAACGACGGCATTCGCTCCCTGTAGGCAACTTTATAACCCAGTAGGTACTCTTTGTCTTTCTACCTTTTCACATTAACCTCATGAAGATGGAAACTCACACCTCCTTTATAACCGTTGTCGAAGACATTCCTCAGCAACACTGCTTCCGGTGTTGTGAAAAGTTAAGATCTCCACATTCTGAAAAATCGGTTATTTCCTCCCAGAACAGTGGGAATGAACAGCCTGCTTCGATAGCTCCATGATGAAGGTTTTCTGTTCAATACTAAACCCTAAACTTACGTCACCCACCAAGCTAAGCGGTCACGAGTTCCTTGAGCAGAATTTCTCAGTACGCGCCGTGTCCTGATAGTTTCTGGGTTGTCTCGGACAACCGAAACAGGTTATAATTCCTATCTTTCCTGTGACCAACTTGACAGATAAAAGGTAAATGCCAGATCCACCACATTGATTTGCCGAATGAATTTTTTTTGCCGTACCTTTTCATCATGAAAAGATCTTCACAGATCTTTTTGTCATAGCCTTTTTACAGCACATTGCTCGATTTATCGCCGTTCTTGATATTCATTCGACGTTTCTTACCAAGCCCCTGCCTTCCTCTACCTTCTCCTCTCTCCTAGAGAGGCAGGGGTAAACGAAGGTCCCGTGATACTTTCTTGGGATCGTCTTCGATAAACGCAACAACTGGAAAATCTTAGCATATAGCTAAAGCAGTGATGAATGGGCGCGGGTTCACATTCTGTCTCATTGCTCAGGCTTCTTCTTCTCTGAGATGCTGGAGAAATAAGTCTACGTTCCTCATGTTCGAGTAAAATCACTTCAAGAGGCATTCATCGGTATGGTGCTGGTACCGGTGAACTTTGTCACACACATCTTTGCTACGAATTCTCGATCGAAGACTGCTCTCCCTCCCTAGACCAGGAAACCAGGTGGTATAGGGAGAAGACTTCTGGACCACCTGGCTGGTAAGCTCAAAGCAGTCTTATACACACCCTCACGTTTTCGTAAATGATTCCCTTTATGTTCCCTTTATGTAGCAGCCAAACTTGAAGCAATACGCCTGTGAACCGGTACCCGCAGCCATTCTGCCTTTTCAAAGCTGTTTCAGTAAGGCTAGCACTATAAAGAACCACGACCATGAATTCAGGAGCCTCCTATTTATCGGGAGCCTCCTACTTATCCTTAACTTTTAATTCTCTTCTCATTATTTTGTTGAAACTCTTTTGCCGTTCGCCGTTCAGGGTTTTTAGGTTTCTTTTCTGATTCATTGCTAATTCTAAAAACTTTTTCAATTTTCGTGGTTTTTTCGCTATGCTGAAGGTGTGAGACCGTGTAGGAACTTACGTTTCAGGAAAATCTGTAGTTGTTTACCATTTTAGCAGTTCTCCACGACTGTCGATGTGGCCTTACAGTCCTTTGGACTGGCTGCTCGCCATCGCAGTCTTGGTTGCATTGGCCACCTGTCAAGATGACTACGATCCATACCAAGAATTTATAGCCACTGAAAGCGGTACTTCCTAGTTCTATCTATGGGGTTGTTTTTAGAATCCATGTAGCGAAAGCTGTTTCATTTTCAGAGCGAGGTCTTTTCCCGAGTATTTTCAACCTGGCCACAAACTCCTTGATCAATGCCTCGGCTACTTGTGGATATACTCGACGCGAAGAATATTGCAAGCTTGTCGAACACGTGCTGTTGCGAAAAACGGCTGCTGGAGGGTAAGCGTCATATAGTTCTGGTTCTTGAAGAAGCGCCTCCGCTGTAATGGATAGGGCATAGTTCTGACAACAACTTCAGCGATGACATAGCACGCCAAGATTCCATGCTTCGTGTAATTTTCCTCTACTCTTGCGAGTATTTCCACCGGGTCATAGAGGATCATTTATGGAACCTATTTTTGGATATTCCGCTAAACATCTTTTACTCAGTAGCCTTTCTGAGGCCAAGACTGAGCCTAGTGCGCCGGCGATTCCCTACTCACAACTTTCTTTCTCGTACAGCTTATATTATAGAGTATTTTGGCATGTCTTTAAGTCCCATACTGCGAAATAGACGGGAGCAAGAGAGTAGCTTATTAGTACTTTAAAGACTCAGAAGGCCTAAGCCATAAAAAAAATAAATAATAAATGTATATTTTTAAGCAACTTCCATGTTTGCCTCTCTTGAAACCTGGGCATCGGTACTAATATTATTCAATGCTTCTGTGCCATACAGGTTTTTTAATGGTGGAATGTTTATTCGCCTGACGTTTCGACAAGATCGTCGTTTTCAAAGGCCTGAAAGCGTATCGAAACTTCAGGG